TAATTACAGAGAATATAGATCCACTTTTCAGCTTTATCAGATCTTAACATTGTGACATAGTTTCTTCCACTTTTTAAAAAAAGAAAGTGTTACCAATCCATTGAGGGCCTCTATGCTAAGTATTTCTCTTCCATGTCAGTGTTTATCATTATATCAAAATCTCTCTTGTTAATTCAGTGTGTATCATTCTAATGCATGATTTTATACTTTTGACACATACTTTGGCATCCATATATATTATATACATATATAGATTGTATATTAACAATGACATTTGCAAAAGAAACATGGAAGCTACTGGCAATTGGGAAGTACGAGTAATTCTAAATTCCCAGATTTTTGGTCAAATCTTATCTCTAAGCAAGCAGAAAGTTCCCAGAGCATGACTCACAAGGGACAAAGTATACCTTTAAAGAGTAAAAAGTAATAATAGCTTGATGACTTAAGAGGAATTATGGGATAGGCCAAAGGAACGAATCAGGAAAGTGATTTTTAATTTTGCACCAATACAGATTTAAGATTGGGCCACCCATGAAAGAAATGAAGGGCTGAGATTAAAGAGGACATCCCCTAGCAGAGTCTCCTCACTGCACACACAGGGTGGGTAGCAAGAGAGTGTCAGAGAACATGAGGCAAGGCTGATCTTTGTGGTGCGTAACAGTATGGATCACACTTCAGAGAAATGAAGTTTAAGGAAGGGCCAGAGATCTGTGTACTGACCCCATTTTCAGCTTACGCAGAAGAAGCCATCCAGTAGAGCTAGAATGTGTAACAGAAGAAGCCTACCATCTAGCATTTGAACATTGAGCACATGCCAGAGAAGCAGAAGTGACTGTCACAAAAGCAAGTTCAAAGTTAAAAGAAGGGGAGGCAAAGGAAAACTCAATGCCATAAAGATATAAATGTAAGGACATTCGTTTTTCTTTTTTTTTTTAAAGATTTTATTTATTTATTTGAGAGAGAGAGAATGAGAGAGAGCATATGAGAGGGGTTAGGGTCAGAGGGAGAAGCAGACTCCCCGCCGAGCTGGGAGCCCGATGTGGGACTCGATCCCGGGACTCCAGGATCATGACCTGAGCCGAAGTCAGTCACTTAACCAACTGAGCCACCCAGGTGCCCCGTTTTTCTTTATTACTAAACAGACTTAAAATTGTTACAAGGAATTTTTTTTTTTAAGATTTATTTATTTATGTTGGGGGGAGGGGCAGAGGGAGAGGGAGAGAGAATCTCAAGCAGACTTCCTGCTGTCTGTTTGGCTGGCGAGGAGTCCAACAAGAGCCTCAGTGCAGGGCTCCACGGGGGGCTCAATCTCAGGACTCTGAGATTATGACCCTGAGATCATGACCTGAGCCAAAATCAAGAGTCAGATGCTTAACCAACTGAGCCGTCCAGGTGCCCCTACAGAGATTTTTTTAAAGCCACCCATAATTGCCATATTACTATACAGTAATCTTTTGTTTCTTCAGATTCCTTCATAATTTTATACAACCCCCTCTACACACACACATACACACACACACAGTATGTATACAATATTTACCTGGTTTTAATCATAGCATAATATACAATTCAGTATGCCACTATTAAAATTTCATGTTTACATTAACACAGTTTGTTATTAGATTTACTCTTCTTTTTTAACATTTATTTAGTATTTAATATTTAATTTTATTTTGTTTTATTTTTTTTAAGTAGGCTCTAGGCCCAGCGTGGGGCTTGAGTTCACGACCCTGAGATTAAGAGTCACATGTTCCAATGACTGAGCCAGCCAGGCACCCCAGCTTAGTCTTTTTAATGTCTGCATCTAGTACCTTTTCAGTTGTATGTTATAAATATGCTCCTGTAAGCACGGTGGGTATTCTCACCATAAATAGGGGTGGAGATACTAAGAAAAATTAGGAAAGGAGCATTTTTAGAAGGAAAAAGGTAAATGTGGGAGAGTTAGAAGCCAGTTGATTCAGCGGAATTGGGTCCCTGCTTCTTGGACATTAATTGTGTATGTTTTAGCACATATGCAGTTCTGCTTGGGGGTATTTTTAATTTTCTTTTAATTTGAAGATATTTTTAGTGCAGGAAAAAAATCCCCACAGATGATAGGAAAACAATGTATCCAAAATTAAAGTTCATCATTTTTTTTTTTAAATAAAGAAATACCCCTGAAAAGTTGAAGTCTCCTTTGGATCCTCTGCAGTCACATGGGTAGCCTCTTAAGGACTCCAAGGAACAACAAGGCAACTTAGTTCAAGGCAGTTCACGTAAATGGTGATAAAGGAATGAGGGGTGGGTGTGATCTACGAAGGAAGACTTCAGTCTTTAATGCGCTGCTGTTTCTAACATAATTGCAACAATACTCTACATTTGTGCAATGCATTAGAGTTTGCAAAGTGCTTTTGTGGCCTATAGAATAGGGAGATGTTAGGTAAGCTTCAACCCAGGCTGCCCCACTCCCCAGGGGTGCATATGGAATGAAGTAGCAGCAGCTACAGAAGGGGCTTCCTGAGCTGCACAGAAAGTAGTCTTCGTCCTTCCTGAGCTGCACAGAAAGTAGTCTTTGGTCCTTCCTGAGCTGCACAGAAAGTAGTCTTCGTCCTTCCTGAGCTGCACAGAAAGTAGTCTTTGGTCCTTCCTGAGCTGCACAGAAAGTAGTCTTCGTCCTTCCTGAGCTGCACAGAAAGTAGTCTTCGGTCCTTCCTGAGATGCACAGAAAGTAGTCTTCGGTCCAGTTAAGGAATATTTATCAGGTCACACTACTTCAGGCTCTCTTCCTATGAAAATGTGAACGTGCTAAATGCCTTTTCTTTAGATCAGTGTGACTCAGGAACAGCTTTCAACAGGTCAAAGCTGAGAGCTCCAGCAAATCTACTGTTAACAGAAAACACTCTTGGCGCCATCAAGAGAGCAATACGGGACATAGGGCTTCTCTTCACAATAAAGACAGCAGCGCTTTCCAAAGTGCACACCTATCTGGAAATTGCAGTGTCTGTGGAGGTATGAAAGCAGGAACAGAGGCTGCATGCTAAGCCCACAATGCTGAGCTTCTCCAGGTGTTTCTTTTAAGGAATCCTGAGGTATGTTGCTGAATTACAGGCTCTTTGATGCTGACAAAAAACATGGTGAAGAAAACACAGAAAAGACAACAAAGATGCAAGTTTTAGAAAGAAAGAGAAAGAAAGAGAGAGAGAAAGAGAGAAAGAAAGAGAAAGGAAGGAAGGAAGAAAAGAGAAAGCAAGCAAGCAAGCAGGTAGGTATTTTGGGGGGATTAGTGTTAATAGGGGTACATGTGTATATATATGCATACTGACTCCAATTTCAACTTATTTAGAAGAAATTACCATTAGTATCTACAATGGAGAAGCATAGATTCAAGCATATTTAAACACTTTTAACATAGGCTAGAGAAACAGAACCAAGAGTCATAAAAGAAAGAACAATATTTCTAATATATCTATGTACAAACACATACATACATATCCATACAAACGCACACATGTATATAATGCACACACACACACATATATATTTATAAAATATAAATTTATGGATAAAGTGAAAAGATCATTAAGAAAAGATACAAGAATTAGGACAGACCAGAAATGTCAGTAAGCTGTAATTTTTCTCGTTTTCACAAAAATAACTGCTGGCTAGAACCAACATGGTGATCCTAATTAGTATCAGGACTACCCTTTGGGTGAGGTGTCCTGTTCCGCCCTCTTCCCTCCCCCCATCACAGTTGACTGCTCCCCTCTATGACCCAGAATACTTTCACTTTGAGTCTTTCTTAGCATCCGTCGCAATCATGATGTGTTGTCCTATGTGCTTCATTTGTCCTCCTCCACTAGGCTTTGAAGTCCTTACGATGAGGGCTGTGTTCCATTCATCTTCATATCTCTGGCAGCTAGTGCAGTATTTGGCCAATAGACGTACCCTGTGTCCTCATGGAAACCTAGCCACTGTCTGTCTCAGACATCAGTTGTACTGTTAAAGCACCTTCTCCCTACCTTCCAGGCCAGTTCTCCCAGCATGGCTCTCTTCTTTATGCAGAGAATCAACATCTGTCCTGTTCTGTTCACAGGGGCTTTCTTTTACTTTCTTCTATAGGGGAAGAAAGGCCAAGTCTTTGCCACAAAGGCTGATGCTAATTGTTCTTATGTGCTGTTTAAAAAATAGGGGCGCCTGGGTGGCTCGGATGGTTAAGCGTCTGCCTTCGGCTCAGGTCATGATCCTGGGGTCCTGGGATCGAGTCCCGCATCGGGCTCCCTGCTAGGCGGGGAGCCTGCTTCTCCCTCTGCCTCTGCCTCTCTCTCTCTCTCTCTCTCTGACTCTCATGAATAAATAAATAAAACATTTAAAAAATAATAATAATAATAAGACTATTAGAGACCTAAGATTAAGTGCTGAAGTGGAAAAGCAGGGAACTTGATCTAGACAGGAGGCAGAGGTCTAGGAGCCCCTCATAGATGAGATTTAGGAAAGGAGAATGGGGGTAGGTCTTTTTTTTTTTTTTTTTTGTAAGATGTTATTTATCTGAGAGAGAGAGAGAGCACGAGCAGGGTGAGGGGCAGAGAGAGAAGCCGACTCCTCGCTGAGCAGGGATCCCGATGCAGGGCTTGATCCCAGAACTCCTAGCTGACTGAGCCACCCAGATGCCCCAGGGGGTAGGTCTTTTAAAGCCAAAACTCTTAAACCTTGTCTGTCCCATATTAACAAATTAAAAGGTTTGAGTCATGTTGTTTGGCTGGTGATATCTGCATTTGTTGTTGTGTAATTACAGGGCTAATTAGGATGGTCTTCTTTGGAATACAGTATGCATTTGGGCTATTTTGGGATTATGGGATGCAGGTGCCTCATGACCTGCCCGAGGGAGATTATGTCATCCACTTGGGTGTCAGCAGATGCCCTGGTTTCGGCAGGCTTGGTGGATTGGTCAGAGTTCAGCAGCACACACAATTACCCTGGGGTTTGAGGGTAGAGTTTCCACCTCTATTTCTGGCAGGGAGATCAAGCCCCAGCCCTTGTCACGTAAACTGTGTGTGACTCAGCACTTCAACAGTCCTTCTATGAGGTAAGGGAGAGGAATGAATATTCATTCAATGTCTATTATGTGGCAGAAACTGTAGTGCACTTAGAAACTTTATAAATGAGGGGCACCTGGGTGGCTCAGTCGGTTAAGCGTCTGCCTTCAGCTCCGGTCATGATCCTGGGGTCCGGGGATCAAGCCCTGCATCGGGCTCCCTGCTGGGTGAGGAGCCTGCTTCTCCCTCTCCCTCTGCCTCTGCCTGCCACTCCCCCTGCATGTACTCTCTCTCTCTCTCTCTCTCTGTCAAATGAAAAATAAAAAAATCTTAAAAAAAAAGAAACTTGGGGCGCCTGGGTGGCTCAGTTGGTTAAGCAACTGCCTTCAGCTCAGGTCATGATCCTGGAGTCCCGGGATCGAGTCCCGCATCGGGCTCCCTACTCAGCGGGGAGTCTGCTTCTCCCTCTGACACCCCCTCGTGCTCTCTCTCTCATTCTCTCTCTCAAATAAATAAATAAAATCTTAAAAAAAAAAAAGAAAGAAACTTTATAAATGGTAGCAAGTTGATATCACCACTTTACGTAGGATGCCATATAGCTATTAAGTGGTAAATCCAGGGTTAAAAGTCGGGTCTAGCCTGGCTTTAAAACTTTGGTTGATAGCCCCTGATGCCCTTTGACTACCTCAAATGGCCGCAGTGGCTCTCACGATACCAATGAAGGGCTGGGCAGTTGACTATAATATTAGGGTCCAGATATTTATCCCATTGTGAACTTTCTCTAGGTCTTCTAGGTTTTGTGTTACTTTGCCAAGTGAAAAACTAGAAATTTAGAGCATCAACAGAACTGACCAGGGGCATAATAACTCTCTAATCAGATGGAAAGAAAAAGGCAAAACTGAGTGAAAACAAAGAAAGGTTGAGAGTATTTAGGGTATAAGAAACTAATGAATTAACCAGGTCTAATGTTTTATTGTTTTTTTTTTTTTTTTAAAGATTTTTTTATTTATTTGACAGAGAGAGACACAGCGAGAGAGGGAACACAAGCAGGGGGAGTGCGAGAGGGAGAAGCAGGCTTCCCGTGGAGCAGGGAGCCCGATGCTGGGCTCGATCCCAGGGCCCTGGAATCATGACCTGAGCCGAAGGCAGATGCTTAATGACTGAGCCACCCAGGCACCCCTGTTTTATTGGTTTTGATAGTGGAAAAGCAGTATGTAAAAACACATGATATAGAAAATGCCCTGTATGATAGAATTCACCAAAATTCCAATGAAGTAAGTCATCTGAAAGTGCTCTAAGAGCATGAAACACCCCACAATTATGAGAGATCCTTTGTGCAAGGAGAAACCTTTATCTATGTATTTTTTAAAGATTTTATTTATTTGAGAGAGAGCATGTAAGCACATGAGAGAACAAGCATGAGTGGGGTGAAAGGCAGAGGGAGAAACAGGCTCCCCCTGAGCAGAGAGCCCCATGTGGGGGTCGATCCCAGGACTCAGGGATCATGACCAGAGCCAAAGGCAGATGCTTAACCAACTGAGCCACCCAGGTGCCCCAAGGAGAAATCTTTATCAGAGGAACTTGAAACATCCTTATGTTTGCCTCTCCTTCAAGAACTAGAGCAGGTTTAACAGTTGCTCCTTGATGAAGAAACAGCTCATGCTTCTTTTCTCAGTTTGGCAGGTAGAGAACAAAATTAACCTTGAGGAGAAGAAACTTTCTGGGACTATATGAGGCTCCATAACTGTATTCTGAATTGTGGCCAAGAAGGTTGGGTAGCACTTTTCAAACTATTTTTAGAAAAATACATAACGAGTGCGATAAAGTTGTATAATCTAAATTAAACATTAATGGCATGCCTAGGGACTTTGTACCATGAAAATATTTTTACTTAAAAAAATCAATTTTTATTTTATCTCTTATATTCACTCTCCTTCCACTAAGTTTCTTAGTGCCCTGTCAAATCCTCCCCTGCCACTTCTCATTCTTTTCCTCTCCAATCTTAACATCTCTCACTGTACTTAGGAGAAATGGTTTTTTTGCTGTTCCTTCCCTGATTCTTTGAGGTACCTGATCAAATACTTTTCTGAGTCTGAGTGCACATTGTGCCTTCCTCCTTTTATTCTACCCTTCTCCTTGTTCTTTTATTCCTATCCCTACCTCCTTAGAACTTCAAGTTCCCACTACAATTTCAAATATAGTATATTTTGCTGTTCCTTCTACAAGAGAGTTTAAATGCCTCTAATTACACCGTTTTTCCCATTCTTCCTCTCTTTTGCAATTCAGATGAAGCATAGCAGTACCATTTACTTGATTCTGCTCTCTGATTTGTCATGTCATGTTGATGGATTTCATTTTACATGAGTCTTGCTTAAATGGTGTCCCAGCACCCCATCTGTGTCTGAAAGAATTGCTTCACAGGCAAAGCAAAAGGGCCACAGAGCTGTAGCCACAATGGGCTTTCCTATTCAAACAGTGCCAGGTTGCTATTCAACTCTTGGTTGGAAAGTAAGTTTAGTTACATTTGCCTGAAAAGATCCCTTCTATTTAGTCAGATTGGCAAGGTCTTGTTTTAATCTGGACATGGTCACAAATGAAAATTACTATAACCATATTTCCATGGGTCTAGACTAGTATTCTTCAAATAAAGTGGGGTCTGTGCAACTTCCTTGGACAATTCTTGGACATCCTCATTCCTTCCTTCCTTCCTTCCTTCATTTATTTAGAGAGTGAGCCAGGGGGAGGGGCAGAAGGCAAGGTAGAGAGAGAATCTTGAGTAGACTCCATGCCCAGCACAGAGCCCAATGCAGGGCTTGATCTCAGGACTCTGAGATCACAACCTGAGCTGAAATCAAGAGTTGGATGCTTAACCGACTGAGCCACCCAGGCCCCTTCTCCTTATGCTTGACAACTACCTGAGAAGTTGTGTTGAGAGAAGAATAACACATGTATGTGGCAGGACAGTATTTTGAACATTAACTTACGTTTTCCTCTTTTCCCATCCATTCTTTCCTGTTAGCCCTATCCCTTCCCTGACACTCACCCTTTAGGCTACTAATTCTTTTTTTTTTTTTTTTTTTAAGATTATTTATTTATTTATTTGACAGAGACATCGAGAGAGAGCACAGATAGGCAGAGCGGCAGGCAGAGGGAGAGGAAGAAGCAGGCTCTCCGTGGAGCAGGGGGCCTGCCACAGGGCTCAATCCCAGCACCCCGGGATCCTGACCTGAGCCGAAGGCAGATGCTTAACGACTGAGCCACCCAGGCACCCTAGGCTACTAATTCTTTTGCCTTTATTGCCTCAAGAAAAGAATGGAAGCAAACACAGATTTTTGGGTTGTTTTTGTTTTTTGGGTTTTTTTAGTTAGAAAAATAGACTTTGAAACTCTAAGCAGGAAAGAGTTGGAGTCTGTGAAGGTAGAAGATTAAGCTTTTGAAATTTCAAAGCCAATGCCTTAAAGGACTCAAGGCTTGGACTGTGTATAATATGTCAGAGCCAGACTTTTCTGCCTTTTGAGACTAGCAAGGGTCTGGATCCAGGAGAGCCAGTGAGGAAGCCAGTGGTGGTTTCAGAGATGTACACTTTCTGCCCGAGAGCAGAGGGAACATGAGCCTCCCAGGCTAAGGTAAAGGCAGTGGGATCCCAGAGTTCTGTTCCCCGGCCAATAAGGAGCAGAAAGCAGAAGGAATGACTGGGAGAGCACCAGGGCTCCTGAGCCTGAGGCACCTCCCTAGCACAATTCTAGGGAATGAGTGGGAAGTGGTGAGAGGAGAAAATCCTGACTTAGCTGATGTCACATCTCTACCACTTGGTGGCATTTAAGGTCACATATAGGAAAAGAAAGTTAAACAGTTCTTGTACATTTATTTTCATGGCCTGAAATTCATATACACTACTCAGTGGGAACAGATCTCAGTTCAGGTCAGGAGTCTCTTGAAGCTGTGTGTGTCACTGGGCAGTTACTCGGCTTTTGGGAACCTTGGGTTCCTCATCATTAAAATGAGGATGTTAATATTAGCTGAATGTAAGCAACAGACATTTTTGTAGGTCAAAATTGTTAAAAATCAGCAATTTCCTGTGATACAACCTAATAACTACTTCACAGACATAAGAAAAAATTAAATAGAATAATGTTCTAGTACTGTCCCTTGTGTTTAGTAAGTGCCTAATAAATATGTGATTTATAAAAAGGTATGTAAATAAAACCCTGTGATCTAATGGTCATAGCATAATCTGTGCTTAAAATATCTGCTCCATACTACACAGAATATGAAATGCCTGTTAGGAGTTCTCTTTCTTCTCCTTTGATCCTCTTGCCCTTCTTCCTCCTCCTCCTCCCCTCCTCCCCCTTCTCCTGTTGCTTCTTCTCCTCCTCTTCCCCCTTCCTTCTTCTAAAAGTCTAATTCTTATTCTCTTTCTTCTTTATACAGTTTAATTTTTTAAAGAGTTAATATGTTTTCATGGTTCAAACACCAGAAGAAATACAGTGAAACATCTCCCATCACATCACCGCCCTCCATCTATCTAGGGTATTATTTCTTGTATATTTTCCTGATGGTAAACACATGTAAAAAAGTGAGCATTGTTGTGTGTGTTAGAATTCTAAGATAGCTTTAAAAGTATCTGTATTTATATGTATATGAACGTATGTATGTATATACTTACACATGTTTTAGCTGTAGTCCAAGCCTATCATCTAATGAATAAGAAGCTGAGGCCCACAGAAATCCTGCCTTTTTGCCCGAAGTCACTCAGAGAATCAGTAGGGCTCGAACATTAATTATACTTATACACCACTCTACAAGGTCTCACGTTACAAATATGAACCTTAAATGTAAATAACCTATTTTGTTAGACAAATAGAGCCTTTTTTTTTTCTTTTGACTTATGGGTCATGGAAGCCAGATTAAAGTACGTCACTATTCTTGACTTCCATGTTTGGAAATTCTCCTACTCAATAAAAATTTTTTTGTAACCCCAAAATCAATACCCATGACACTTTCATGCTCATTCCCAGACATGAACAGAGTGGCAAAATTTGAGTTGCTGACTGTGCATGTTCCCAGCTAAGGTCCAACAAGGGGATTCTTTGCCTTCTGATACTATAAATAAACATCCCTTTTGTGGTCTATCTACTGCTAATTTTTTGCATTTTTGTGCTTTTTGCAGTTGATTTTGCTGTTTAAAATGGCCCCCAAGCAGAGTGCTGATGTGCTGCCGGCTGGTCCTAAGTGCAAGAAATCTGTGATATGCCTGAAGGAGAAAACAGTTAGACAAGCTTCATTCAGGCAGGAGTTGCAGTGTTGCTGGCCATGAGCTTAATATTCATGAATCAGCAATGTATATTAAGGAATGTGCCTTTAAACAGAAGCACATATAAAATAAGATTATGTATTTGGTTGACAAAAATGTTGTGACCAGAGCCACATAGGAACCTAACCCTGTATTTCCCTTAGGAGCAATGGCTCAGTACTTGCTAATTCCATGGTGACAGAGACTATACAATATAGATCCTGTGACTATTAAGAATCAGCTGTGTATTAGAGCACAACACATAAAGCTTTCCTATCTTACTTTTTAGTTCTTAGTGTCAGTTTAAGTTTTTCTTAAATATGATAGCTGTGCCATCATATCCCACAATTTTGAGCCTAAAAAAGATAAATTTTCCATTGCAGTGCACACATGGCTTTTAAATGGTAGGGGTAGAGGTATTATAGGAGGGCACAGACTTAAAAGAAAGCCACTGCTGCTTTGAGTGGTTCAAATATCTTGCCAATTTCATAGATCTTGTACCATTTATGAAATAAATAATGTGGCAGTAGCTACCAAGTTTATAGTTCCTTCAGCAGTGTTTATGTTTTTTGTTAGTGTTAAAGAAGTTTACAGTAATCTTCAGTAAGAAATTATGAGTGCATATCATTCTCTCAATAACATGTAATCTAACCTTATTTTGCCAATAATAGAAAATGCAGTTCTTATCTCACTGATATGAGGAATTCTTAATTGCAGGAAACAAACTGAGGGTTGCTGGAGTGGGGGGTGGGGTGGGAGGGATGGGGTGACTGGGTGATAGACACTGGGGAGGGTATGTGCTCTGGTAAGCGCTGTGAATTGTGCAAGACTGTTGAATCTCAGATCTGTACCTCTGAAACAAATAATGCAATATATGTTAAGAAAAAAAAAAAGAAGAAGAAGGTAGCGGGAGGGGAAGAAAGAAGCGGGGGAAATCGGAGGGGTAGACGAACCATGAGAGACGATGGACTCTGAAAAACAAACTGAGGGTTCTAGAGGGGAGGGGGGTGGGAGGATGGGTTAGCCTGGTGGTGGGCATTGAGGAGGGCACATTCTGCATGGAGCACTGGGTGTTGTGTACAAACAATGAATCATGGAACACTTTTTCTAAAACTAATGATGTAATGTGTGGGGATTAACATAAGAATAAAAAAAAAAAGAAAATGCAGTTCTTATATTAATTACAATGAAAACCAAGGGCTGCTTAGCAAGTTTTACTTATAACCCCAAGTGTTGCTACCATTCACATTACAGTGAGGAATGGGTATATCCTTGTGATTTGATAAAAGGTACATATTTCCAGAAGGGACAGCATATTAAACTTTATTGCTCTCTTATTGCTGCTTCATATCCTTTTGGACTGTTATACTTTATAAATAGACAAAGACAATTCTACTGAATTATACTTCAATATGAATGAGTTTACCAAATGGGCTCCCAACCTAAATTCTACCAGAAGACTGTGGTGGAAAGAAATGGGTAGGTGGGCATGGGAAGAAAGGTTCAGCAAAAGACAATGAGCTAATCTGTGTAAATGACCAGTTAGAAGTTGAGCTGTGTCCCTCTCAACAAGATTTGCTGAAGTCTTAAGCCCTAGTACCTCAGAATGTGACTTTATTTATAGATAGGGTCTGTGCTGAGGTGATTGAGTTAAAATGAGATCATCAGGGTAAGCACTAATCCAAAATGACTGCTGTCCTGACGAGAGAGAAATTGGGGTGGAGAGAGACACACACACACAAGGAGAATGCTAGGAAGAGATCAGGATGATGCTTCTGCAAGCCAAGGAACATGGAAGATCGCCAGCAAACCACCAGAAGTGAGGAGAGAGGCCTGGTACACATTCTTCCCCCCAGCCCTCAGAAGGGAGCCACCCTGCCCACAGCTTGGTCTTGGACTTCCAGCCTCCAGAGCTGTGAGACAGTAAATTTCTGTTGTTTAAGTACATCCCCCCCTCCCCCTGGTTTGTGTACTTTGCTACAGCAGACCCAGGAAACTAACACATGGCCCATCACTCCTTGGAGAATAAAACTAGTCCCTTATGGGGCTTCCAGTTTGGCTTCATCTCAACAAAACCAGAAACCCATTTGCTTGGGAGCTAGACCTGATGAACTGAATCCTGCTCAAGATCATGAAACCACAGCCTCAACCTTGCATGGAGCACAAAATCTGATTTCAAAACCTATCTCAAAGGATGGCTCACCCCCAGGCCCTTTAGGTCACTGACAACTGTCTTAGACTCTCGCATCCAATGAAGCTTGACTGCCTTTGTGTCATGGGAAGTTCAAATTAATGCAGAGAGAGAAAGAGTGTCTGGGAAGAGCTGCAGGGGACTTTAGCAAGGTCTTCATTGTTATTTAACAGTAACAGTGTAAATGCGTCTTGATTCCTACCCTGGGTGCTGATTACTTCTTTTTTTCTTTTGTGCAGGCAACTCTACTTGGAACTATTTCGGGCTCAGAGTGGGCATGATTCTTTGTTCACTCTGCCCCATTCCCCGAGGTTTCCCTATTGATGGGAGATTACTAATGAATGAAGATAAGAACTAAGTGAAAGTGGCTTTAAAAAAATTAAATAACTATTTCCATTGTGTTATATATTTTCAACAACACATTCATTAGTTATTTTATATCTCTACTGGACATTTTGGGATGTGAGCCTTGCAGTACCTACATAAATTCTTCTGTGATGATAATTGTTTGGTTCTTTGCCTAACCACTTTCCAGGTATTGTGTCCTCAGGGTATGAGATGGGGTCCAACCAGAAATCAGAGCCCAAGTGAGGTAGTTCAGTTGAGGGAATTTAACACGAGGAACTAGGTACAAAGGTGTTGGAAGGATTGGAAAACCAAACTGGGGAAGGATGGGCACCCCAGTGAGTAGCCATAGCAGGAAGCCTCTCCTATCCATCCCTAGGGTCAACAGAGTCCTGGAGCCATTGATGCTGGCTGGACCTGGAATGGGAATCATAGAGAGGCAGCCACTGTGGGAGAAGCTCCCTGAATCAGAGAGGAGGAGAAATACCTTGGTTTCTCCTCTTCTTCTGCCAGTGCTCCTACTTTGTCTTTTTATCTTTCATTGTCCTAATTTCTTTGTGGCATAGGCAAGTGAGCCTAGCAAATGGAGTTGGCAGGAACCAACTTCCTTCAATATAGCTAGAACAAGAGAAGAGCAAGAAACTAGCACACGCATACCGAAAACGGTAAGTTGAGAAGCATAAAACAACCTCCTGGAGATCAGGGGAAACAGGAAGTTATAGGTTTTCACAATAATGAGGCTCTATGAAGTACATTTACACACACTGGGAAATAACAAAGGGTTAATAGGCTTAGAGAGGTACAATTCAGTATGTAAAAATTTAGTACAAATACCCAGTTTGAAATGTAGGCATTAGAATCCAAAAAATACTTTTTTTTTTTTTTAAGATTTTATTTATTCATATGAGAGAGAGAAAGACAGAGAGTACGAGCAGTGGGGAGAGACAGAGAGAGAGGAAGAAGCAGACTCCCCAGCGAGCTGGGTACCCAACGTGGGGCTTGATCCTAGGACTTGGAGATCATGACCTGAGCTGAAGGCAGATGCCATCCAGACGCCCCCCCAAAAAATACTTTTCTTAATTTTTGCTGATATCTTTGCTATTTTACATTTTTTGGTTATCTGAAGTTAATTCCCACATCTGCTTGGAAATTGCACTTTGAAATTGCTGATATTAACTTGCTTACTTGTCATTGCTTTTTCTCATGACAGTAGATTATAAAGAAAAGTAACTATTTGAGTTTTCTGTCTATTTGAAACTCTGTAAGTAAGATGTTCCTGTTTAGGGGTACCTGGGTGACTCAGTCATTAAGCGTCTGCCTTTGGCTCAGGTCATGATCCCGGGGTCCTGGGGTCGAGCCCCATGTCCGGCTCCCTGCTCAGCGGGAGACCTGCTTCTTCCTCTCCCACTCCCCCTGCTTGTGTCTTTAAAAAAAAAAAAAAAGATGTTCCTGTTTAGTACTCAGTGGGCACTTATCTGCAATAAGGAAGCCAAAAATAATAGGGAATAAACAAAAAAAGGAATGATCTAATCAATGAACAGAATGAAAGCATATACTTTCAAGTTAGCCTTACATTTTCTGTCCTATTATTTATTTTGCATGGTAGTGACTCCTTGGGGACTCTTATTTATTTATTTATTATCTTATTTATTCCATGTAGCATCATATGAGAAAAAGATTGATACCTTAAAGTGATCTACTTAAAAATAATCTCTGTAGATCCATATGCACTTAAATTGAATTGAAAATTACTCGTCTTTAATTAATTAGCTTAAAAGTTTCAAAAAGTAATTTTTTTTATTAATCAAGCTCTTTTTGGTAGAATTTAAATATCTGTGGCAGATGCCTGGTTCACTAATTACACATGCATCTTGCAATAATTAATGTTTGGAAGAAAGCACTGTATCTGGCATACTCTTATTCATCATAAAAATGTGTATTTTGGAAAGTAATAAAGGAAGCATGTAAAATTATAGAAACATAAGTTTCTATAACCACACACACACACACACACACACACACACGAGGCCTTAAAACTATACAGATAAAATGAGGCTGCTGTAGCTGTAATTATCTAGGTAATTAATAAAATTCATTCACCTAGAAACATGAACATCAAGTATGTGCGGACACTAGGGTAGGCTCTGAGAACATACAGTCACATAATCCCTGGCTTCAGTTTATAAGCGAGAGAGAAAGCCTAAGTAGCTACTAGAGGGGCTGTGAGAAATGACTACTGGCAGGGACCCCACCTAGCGTAAAGAAAGGGGGTATCCCCCGGTGGAGATCATTAGCAAGTTTTCAAACTCAGATCCGAGCCTCTGGATCTTGGACAGCCCAATCCCAAGCCTTGGCTTCCTGCCTGTGCCAAGCTCCAGCCTGGTCTCCCACCTTGAGCTAACATCACCTTGCTGTACACACAGCTGCGCCTCCTTGCTTGCCTCTTACTTCCAGTTCTCAAGGGCGCCCCTTATAAATTAGATTCCACCCCCATCCGCCCACACACACCACTTCCCACATCAAACAGATCGTTAGGCCCATGCGTTACGTTTCTCAGAAATATCTCTGAGTGTGTACCTCCTTTGCACCCCCACAGCCTCGGCTGTAGTGTGGGTGCTAGCCATTTCTTAATTTGTTCATTCACAACGGTCTCCTATCTGGTCTCTCCATCTCCTGTTTTGACCTGCTGTACTGCAACTTTCCACTGGCAAGGAACTATCGTTCCAAAACATGTTGTTCTCTTTCCCAGTATCCTCTGGAGGATCCCCGTTGTCTACATACGGTAGTTCTCAAACTTGCATGTGTTCCAGAATCACAGAGGGAACTTGCTTAAAACACAGATTCTTCCTTAACCCAAACTTCCAGAAGTGGTGCCTGGGCAATCTGTCTTTTTAACAAGCTCTCCAGATGGCTCTTTGCTGTCAGCTGGGTCCTAGTTTGGGAACCAGAGTTTTGGAACTGCAAGATCAGGTCCAAACTTAGCACACGAA